CTTTCTGGGCCTTGTCAAATCGCATTATCTCCCCGATGCATTTCGGAGCGCTACCCGGAAGGTCTGCCATAGATCTCGTAGAATGTTTGGTTCATGATGTCGAAAAAGCGTGGGAGACAAAGCAGGTGTGCACTCTCGCCACCCTCGATATTCAAAGTACTTTCAATAGTATTCAGCCTGGCCATTTCCGCGCTCGTCTTTGCGAAGAGAGATGGCCTTTAACACACGTGAATTGGGCTGCTTCCTTTGCTTCTTGCAGGAAGGCTCGTCTCAGAGTGGATGATTTTGTAGGTGACTTCTTGGATATTCCGCATGGCTTGCCCTAAGGATCCCCTGCTCCCCCTATATTGTTTCTCCTCTTTCTCGAGCCATTATTTAAATTCGGGTTTCCTACATTTAGATACGTAGATGACGTGACAATCCTCTCGGTTGCAAAAACTCTTGCCGATACTTCTCATCTGACCACCAACAGGGTCGGAAGCATCACCCGTTGGTGCGAGCAGAATGGACTCTCTCTGGCAGAAAATAAGACTGAAATCCTTCATCTTCACAGATCTCGTCAACCTTCTCCTCCGGTCATCATCAATGGCGTCCCAAGAACTACAAACTCTACTCTAAGATGGCTAGGTGTCTTCCTCGACATCAAGCTCTCTTTCAAACAACATGTTCTAGAATGGAGTACTAAAATGCAATGGATTGGCGCCCATGTACGACAGCTTGGAAATACCAACGTGGTGTACCAACAACTTTTCTGCGCATTACAGCCCTAGCTGCAGGATTACCGGTCCTCTTGTATGGTCCTGGTCTGGTGGCGCGGTCACACATATCTCTGCCGAGGAAGTTCAACCTCAACTCGATCCCAACACCTAGTAGACATGATCTCTCGAGCTCTAGCCAACCTGGCCAAAGTAATTCTACCAGTATACAGAACTACTCCCACTGCTGCACTTCTGAGAAAGTGTGGCTCAAGCCAGCTCATATTCTACTTGAGGAGATACGCCTCCGCTCCGCTGTTAGGCTAGCTGCCGCGGACACCTTTCATCCTTCGGTCAGAAGATTAAAAGACCCTCGCGTAAAATCTCGCCTTACCGAAAAATTGAAGCTCGTTTCGCCCTTCCCCCGCCCTCGGCTCTTACCTCTCTTTTAAAGCTCCGCTTAATCGTACTCGAGCAGACTTTTCCGTCCTAGAATTTCCGAGCGTATCATTGCACTACCACCATGGGGTATTCTTGTCTTTTCGGACGGCTCAAAGCAAAGCGATGGGTCTGCTGGGGCAGGTGCCATCGTTCTCCATAAAGACATCACCGTAACTCAAGGGAGAGTGCCCCTCGGCCCCGATTTCGAGGTCTATGACTCCGAAATTATCGGCGCCCTGGCAGGGCTTAAGGCCGCTGTAGCTGCCCCTTCAACTCATCTCGCAACCAACATCCACGTCATCCTAGACAATCAAGAGGCAGCACAACACCTCCTCAATTATTCGCCATCTAAGTCCTCGCAAATAGAAATTCTAGAATTTCGGGATCTCGCATCTAGCTGGCGTACGAGGAGAATTCTGCCTACCGCATCTCCTGGCAAAGTCCAAGTTATGAGGTCTCCCGGTCACAGGTATTCCAGGTAATGAGCTGGCCGGCAAGCTGGCGGGAGAGGCGGCTCGTCAACCAGCCCCCCCTGCTACATCCCTTGCCGGAGTCCGCGCAAAGATTAAAAGGCAAATATGGGACTTGACCACAGCTTAGTGGCAATCTCATGCTCCCTCTACCTATTGTGAGTTAGGGATGCCATTTCCCAAGAAGCCTCCTGAGGAATTTCGACTCCCTCGCCGATATCTTGGGTATTTAATCCAATGCCGCACTGGACACGGTGACTTTCGTGCTTATCACGAAAGGTTTCATCATCTTGATGTCCTTCTGACTTGTTCCTGCGGGGCTAACAAGTCAATCACTCATTTAGTATTTTGCCCCATTGTGCGAGAGAGACTGGCTTTGGCCGGCCATCGACGAAGTATGGGCTCACTCTATTTATTCCTCGGCAATCCTAGGAACTAAGCGTTTCACAACTAAATTGGAGAAGGTTAGGTTCCTGTCAAAAATCTGCCCACTCCGTAACATATGAGCTATTCTTGTGAGGTATCCACCGCAAAGTCCTCGCAGTCTCTAAATATGTTTTCATGGCCTCTGCCACTGCGCATCACGTCTTGTATTACTTAGTAGCCACCGTGTCCCCTCAGGGATGGGGATTTAGTTGTAACTAGTGCCCGGTAGACATAAAAATAAATAAATATTCTAAATTATAACAAATGTATAGATATTTGAAGTGATACTCCCCTAGTTAGCCATAGGGAAAATTATAAACTACATTCGTATATCTGTTGGAAATATCGCGCGATAAAATGGGCGCAATATTTATAGAGCGAAAGTAGAAGTTGACTAAAGGAGTGTCATTGTTACGGGCTAAGCCCGGCTGGTTTCTGGCTGGGCTGTTTAAGGCTACAGGGCCCATCCTTATCTTGAAGGCTCAAGCGAGTTTGTAAATTTCCTCACTGTAAGGGAGTATTATCAGATCACGTGTAAAGGGCAAGGGTCTCTGGAACAGGCATTGTACTTATAAAGAGCCGCAGCTTCCCGCTCGTAATTTCCTCATAGAAAATATAAACATTTAATTGTGGCATTGCTTTCGTGCATTGGCCGAAAGTCCTAGCCCGTCACAGTTATGTTCGGAATGCGGCTAAAAATGTAGGAAGTGTGCGCTACAAGTACAAGTATAAGCGGTACATAGCATAAGGCGTCGGCAAAGATGAATTCTTCACATTCCGGCGGCGCCGGGGTAATCGCTCAGTATGCTCTGCACATGTGGGATAGCTAAGAAGAATCGCATCTGAATCGAAGTCAAAATCAACCTCAAGCATATCTTCATTAGACAACTTCTCGACAATGCTTCTCTTACCATTCTCATCTGAGTCCTCAACCTCTTTCCAACAACGCATCATCTCTCCTCAACGACCTATAACGAAGTTGCTTCAGTTGCAAACAGAAGCCTGCCCCATTAATTTCCTGCCATCTCTCACTACAAATTTACGACGCTACGTATACCCGCAAGGAGGAAATTAAGTCGAAAAATACAAAGCCGGAGTCCTGGCTTTTGGAGGACCATTGCTCTAATCGGACAAAAAACTTGAGGGGTAAGAGGTCTCTGAAGACCAAGCTGGGTGTTGGAAAATATACTCTGAACGATATTATATGGATAAATATGATGAAGTGAAGAAGACTTGATATTTTACAACTATGGGAACATTGGACTTATATATACATCTAAGGGAGAAATTCCCGCTAGTCTCTTTTTTTTTTGTATCAGATTTTAATTGCGTATGCAGCTATCTAGCTATGACACAATATCAAAGAAAAGTACAGAATGGATGATTCAACGTAGAGGAAGAGCACTCATGCCTCAGATTTCATTTGCAAGTACCACTTCGAAGTTATGGTGGCTTTTTCTTCACCCCAAGTCAACCCTCATCCGTGAATACCCACCCAGGGGAACGTCTCAAAAACCCTGAGTTATCCAGACATGCCTCCATCATCTTTTAACTTTTCTCCGCGCGATATGTGATCTGATGTGTCTCCTTCCCAAGTGGAGTAGGTGCCTAGGCTACTCAAACCATACCAGAGAACACCATCCCGCTAGTCTCGTGTGCCTGTCAAACCTAGTGATGACCAGCCACCTCTCATCTACCATGATGAGCCAAGGTACACTGTAGTAGATAAATATCCAAACATGTTTACGCCAGACGGCGCGATTAGCGTACTTGTGACATATGTAGAGAGAGTCGATCTTGTCAGGAACCTGAGACGACACATATAACGTTTAAATCCTAAATTCGACAGCCAGAATATCCTCCAGGTCTTACTTCGGTAGGTACTTGAATCAATGTGCCCTTCGACCTTAATTTCTGAGGGATCATTATTTATTTGATAATGTACTTAATTGTCCAACTGTTGTCCATGGTTAACCAGCACACTGGGCTTCTATCTTACCAAGCCACACCTTATATAGTGCTCCTATTTTCTTTTGTTTCTTGAACGAGCTCTGATTGCCCGAGGAGAGATACTCCCGGCCTGTATGCAGAAAGAACCTACATCACCATATGGATTTACTGGCTCAAATGGATAATAAACACAAAAAACTCAATTTTTTCCACTTCCTTTCTCGTTTAAATATATACGAATCAATCTGGGTAGCAGATGAGACTAGCTGCCCCTTCCATTTATTAGTTATTCTTAATATTGTAATTAAATATCTTCTAACGGCATGCAAATAATGACAACACTGCTAAGGCTATTTATCCTATATTCGCCTCTTTTGCTGAGTCTTAGGCATCCGCTGTAGACTAGACTATAAACCCGGGACTACATTAGTTTTGCTGCACCATCAAATTCGAGATTTACTCTATAATCTGTAATTTACAAGACTGCAGTTTTCGGTTTCCATACAAGTCGTCTTTTCTTGGGTACCCAGATCCATAATCAGTCAGAATCTTCTTGACGACCCAATCCTCTCGAGTGAGTCATTAATTAGTCAGTACTGGTCACGCTGTCCTTATTCATAGTTGCCATTACTCCGAAGAGCTGTGTGGCGAATAATTAAAAGTATCGAAGCAATAATGATTCTGGATATTTACTACTTCAAAATTGAGATTATTTCATGTGATTACATCCAAGTTCATAGGTTACCATTATCCTAAATGGAGATTCCCGAGCAAAAGATAGTATAAACGCCGATTCCTTATGCCGCCCCACCCAGCTCTGTTAACCCTTAGAGCAAAAAATTATTATCTTTGAGCTTTCTACATAAGAGGAACCATCAAAGAATTCATACGTTAATAAAAGTGAAAATCATTAATTTTGAGCCTGTGTTGTCATTGTTTTATTCTCCTGACAAGAAAGCGTATTGGGGTTATGTATTTGTCGACATCTTGTAATTCTTCATTCTGTCGAGGTAGTAATTCAAGTAACATTCAGGAGTTTGGTTGGAATCTTGCTGCATAGTGTATTGGTGCTTCCTACCCCTTTGTAAACCTCCTCATTGATTCTTGTGGCCCGAGTGGTAACAAGACTTACTCGTTCAGGCCCACGAATAGGTTCAGGAAGGGGTTCATCCTGTAATGTTAGCAATTGAATAAATTATTGCACTAAATATGCAATTAAACGCTTCAAAGTAGGTGCGTACCTTCATGCATGCATTCTCCAATATGTTTGTCCATTTCCCACTGGTTCCAGCGTGACTATGCTTTAGATGCTGCCGAAAATGATCGGCTCGAAAGAATTTTTTGGTATGGTTACACTCTCCAAACTTGTGCATCTCAGTTAAATGAGTAATCCGCATGTCCCAGTCTTGTTCCGTGATAACCGGAGCTCCCATAAGGATTCCTGAGCGAGGAAAATCTTCACCACAATACCCACAAGTATCCGCTTCGCTGGGTCGCGTGGGTGAATTGTGGAAGGCTGCAGAGTATCCAGAAAGTGCTGCACATGACCAAGAATGACGGCGTAAGTGAAGGGAATTTTGGTGACGCTCTGCTTCATTTTTGTTTTTGAAACGATTTCGACAATATGCACACTCATATTGCTTTTCTTGCTCATGATTGCTAGCAAGAATGAGCATCTCAAGCATATTTGTTTAGTGAATCAACTTACTTGAGTTCTTCTTGTGTGTCAAACTTCTTAGGCTTTTTCGGGCAACATTCGCACATAAATATTCCTGGGATATTGTTTGTTGTACTACTAGGTTGTGGATGCGTAGCTGACTCTATAGATGAACGGATGGGAGGTGTCATACGTGATCTACTATCAGGCGAGGTTTGCTGAAAGCTGAGCCTAGAAAGAGAGCCGCGGGGACTCGGATTTGATGACATTGACGTGGCCCGAGGAGATTCCATGCCCTCGAAGTGACCCCAAGGAGTCCCATTCGGGGAACAACGACCAAGAGATCCCATACTGCTAGCTGCTAATGATAAAGCTGGAGCAATGGAGTTATTTCTAGGATCAGATGCATTTGAAGAGATGGAGTCCGAATGAGTATGAATTCGAGGACATATGGATCCCCGTGAGGTAGCTGATTCTCGTCTACGAAATAGATCGCTAGCGCTTCCAACAGAGTGTAGAGTGGGCCCATCTTCTTCCGGAGGGGAGGAGGCTCTTCTCTTCTTCCCAATGGGATTAACGGGTGAATGAGATTCAAGACGGGTACTATGATCATCAATCTTGAGTCTTCGGATTCCGGTTTCTTCAGGTATATCATCATCTCGCTCAGGCGTTAACCTTTGGTCGGTCAAATCACCATTTCGGAAGTTAGAACCCAGCATATCTTCCACTGGAAAAGCACCACTACCTGAATGCCTTAAATATGGAATAGGAGATCTATCGGGATCCATAGTATCGCTTCGTAAGGTGTATTCATACGGATTCGATAATCGACTGCGTTGAGATGAATGAGAGAAATTTTCTGGCCATCTACTAAGGGAACTTTCAAGCTGTTGGGGCCGAGTGGGTTGGTTTGGTCCGGGCGATGGCTTAGATTGCGAAATGTGCTCAAGAGCAACTCGTGAAGTTGGAGATAGGTCGTGCGAAGAGGTACAAAATATCGGCTTGGTTCGACCTAGGGGTGGTGTCCGGCTATCATTACTTTGGGTAAAATCTAATTTGGAAAGCATCTCCTTGTCGTAGGCTCGTGACATGGTTTGATACTTGTCATGGACATGAAATCTAGGCGAAATAGCATTCGGGGAATCAACTCGGCAGTTATCTCCTGATCTATGTACAACAGAAAACATGAAGTCAGCATACAGTCTTTACAAATTAAATAAGTATAAGTTTTTCGCAATCATATTATTTCATATGAGAGTCACCGCCTGTTAGCTTTCGCATTCTTCTAATTTTCATCACTCTCTAGGATAGCTTATATTACGGAATAATTCCTTACCTGTCGGTGCTGATATTGGTACATTGACTTTTCATGCTTTCATAACCTTCGTCGACCCTCATGCCGACATTTGCTCTCGTCTGTATTACAGTGAAGTTGGAGCTACAACTTGTATGTTGGGTGGACTTTGGTCGAGTTTGCTCATGGCGAGCTGAGATCGAGGACGATGGTGAAGGTGTGGCATCTCCTTGTCCTGACTCCTCGTTGAAATGTGCAAATTCCCGACATAGATCCACACAATTTTCGGGAGCGGAAAACCGTTTTGGTGGAGGCATTACCAATGACATCCCATCTTTAGTACCATGCACCAGCCTCGGCGACCTTGAATGATGAAAAGATGACGAATTATTGTATTCTGATCGATAGTTGGGAGGCCTGTAGCGGTCTGGAGACTCCTGAACGATTTGTATGGACGGTGGGGGCGCCAAGGCCCGCTTACCTCGCGAAGGGATGTCCATGAGATATAGCTGTTGCTGAGGTCGACACAGGAATGATGTCACGATGAGAAGATTAACAGGTACGAGGGGATCTCTTGGTGATGATAGTGCCTGTCAGGTGGAGTTTCTGGTGGCGAAAGAGACGGAAAGTCTAGCCAGCTGAACGGTGATGAGTGACCACACATGTAATTCTCTTAAATAGCTAATGGTGGCAGACGGGGTGGCAAAGGCAATAAAGCAGCTCTAACTGGTTCGCGTTGGAGCAGAGCCAGGTTTGTGAGTTCGAAGTTGATAGATTAATATTTGGGACGTAAAAGAGAGAAGGTTATGGTCTTGGTGATAATAGCAGTAGCTTTCGTGCCTGCCTTGGCTTGGCGGTGCTCGAGTGCAAAAGCACTATTGCGGAGGTGCGAATGCGGCGACCCGGGTGTGTTGAAAGTAGAGATTCGAAACTGGGAAACGTTTGCAATATTAAGATATATTGCCCGGCATTCACTGTAGAATACAGACACCGGCGATGGTAATCTGCTACCAAACGAGGGCTTCTAACTTGTGAGGATAGCGACAGCCATCAAAAAATGAAGGCAAATATGGCTAGACATATGTTGTTATAGCGTAGGAAAGAATAAGATGGAACCGCAATTGCGCTGGGCGCCTTGAATATGAGGCCTTTAGGATTACTTGATGGGTGGGGCATATCGGGTAGAAGACTAACTACGGATTTATTCTGATTTAATTTATAATTTATTCGCATTTTCGAATGTGCAGATTTTCATGGAGCCACACCCGAGCTTCCTCGCTCCTCCTCATTGGTTTCCGCCAGTTCCAGACCGTCCTTCCACCTTGCCTTTCAACATACCTGCTGATCCACACACCGGGCGGATGTTATAAACAGGAAAAGCTAGATCTGACGGTTATAGTTACCGGGCATCACTTCTGTTTTCCCAGTATGTAAATAGGCATTACCCAAGAAATATTTTCGGCGCCTCCATATCCCGCTGGCGACGAGTCCGTGCTACTTCCTTTACAAGCCTTAAGGCCATCTCCGATCCTTGATTCTACCGAGACCCTAAACCATCTCCGGCTGAGCCCTCAGATCACCATCCTGGCAGACCAGCTGAGCTGCCAGTGGTTCGTCGATCAGAAGGGGGCACCCGAAGATGACTCAGCTCACTTAATAACTACCCTAGGTCTTGAAAGATGACGATAGGATGAGATGAAGCAGCTCAATAACAAATGGAAGAAAAATAGGGTTCGCCAGATCTATTAGCTACCACAGATTTGGGCCTAACGGTCGGCATAGCTTAGTTCACCATTGACAAGTCCAGCAGTAACAGAGCTAGGCCATGACCGCCGAATACCTGAGCAGCTGTCAGTTCTCCAACATATCGTTGATCTAGTTACGCGGAAGGCTTATTCGACAGTCTTGACGCCGGGCCTTGCCGGCCGAGGCATGCCCCCGGACACGGCAGCAATAGTGGGCAAATTTTGACCAGTTGACCATGGCAACCCATTGCGGAATATGGTGGCACTAGAGAGAATTTAAGGTTCAGCCCTATCTCAAGCTTAGGCCAAGCCCTAAGATTGGGCTAGAACACCAACTAGTGACCTGTATTTTCCCCTTGACGGACGAATTTCTCCTATTTCCCCCCGCGCCCCAGGTGGCTATTCCAAAAACGCGTGGACCTTACGCCCACAAGTCGGCCCTGGTCAACAACGGGGCTGAGAGTTGGATCGCCAAGGTTGCTCTTCCGTGTCGCAAGTACGTAGTGGAGGAGAGTGCGTCAAGCCTGAGAACTATACAGCTTTTCATACCCAGCTCGAATGAAGAGGGAAGCGGCTGCAAAAATGTCCTCTTGGAAGTGGCAGGGCCGATCAACCCTTCCCTGCTACCGTAGAACAAGGACCTGATGCTTGCAGCTAAGCGACAGCAGTCGATCACCACTATTCCTGGAAAACGAGGAACACACGGCGCGCCATGAGGCCCTTCAACCCAATGGTGCTTATCACCCGCGCACCTCTGCAATCGCCCAAGAGTAAGTCAGAAGTACTAATTTCCGGCATAGTAGACTTCTTTCATAGTAAATCAAACAGTAATCCCAGTTTAATTGACCGCCCTCGAAAGGCAATTTAAAAAAGTAGAAATACGCTCGTAATTCTATTTATGTGATGCGGAGCCTAAGGATCGATTACTGTCGGCGTTGATTTCTTCAATTTTAGGGAACGATATTAACGGAGAATCCCAGTTAGATAAGAAAGAGGCTAGGTTAGTATAACAATGTCGTGCTCGATTTTTTTTTAAAATCTTAAACTGAAAGATTTAACCACAAAAATCCGTAAACTAGTCTGCTTCAACATTTGATTCACGGATGCACCTCTAGTTATCTAAGAATATTTTTCTACCGATCAAACTAACACTACCTGTTTGCATTGCTTGTAATAAACCTCTTTCTTGTAGATCTGGACTAAGGATCTATATCTATCATCAACTCACCATCAGTTGATGCATGGTCCAATGAGAAGTTTCTTGAACATGGGTTACGATCGAGTGAAGAAATATGAAGAAAGTATTTCGGAATGTTGTGTTGTGGAGGAGACTCAATTTTTAATTTTGATCTCGACTCGGCAATTCCATGAGTAGGCTCGATGCTCTGAAAGCGATATGTTCTATATAAATATGAGAGTGATGAAAATAACGAGGATCTAGGCTCGTGGTGGTGAATATTGAGGATACAGTCATAAGTTATGAAGTCGAAGAAGTTTTTGAGTTTTCATACCTTTCGTTAGTCACACACTGAGTAGAAACTAGGAGTTTTAGGTTTTGAGGTCTTACGTTATCATTAGACTGTGTATATTAGTCAACTCGATCTTGATGCAACTCCGTGTCGCTCGTGCTGATACTAGGATTGTAGAATATGCCAGTTGCTTGATACGTGTATTCAACGTTGTAAACTTGGCTGTTGAGTGAAAATTAGGATTCAATATTGAAGGGTGGAGCCACCTGATGAGTTTTTATTTTGAATAGAGATTTCAAACAGAACCTACTATCTAGGGATCATTGAATGCCATTGTTCTGCAGCATTTCTTTGCTGAGATTTTCTATTTGTTGATGTAATTTTGTTCTTATTTACTCTTTTTATCTCACTCTTGAAGATTTTCTTTTACTTGGTGGGTAGTCACATTCTTTCATCTTTAGCGGGATTCTCCAACGGAAATAGGGCAGGAGCTCTAGCAAAATCTAAGGAGAAGGTTAGCTTAAACAAATCTAAAGACAAATGCTATCATCTCGCATCTAAGTGGTCTTTAAACCGGAAAGTGATTCGCAACCTACTATTGTAGGAGCCTGACTGTTACTAGTGAAGCATTATCTTTACGAATAATGGTTTTAGAATCAACCAAAGCCTCAGTTGCCCAACTTTTTGACATCTTAGCAGGATACTCCAATTAGCTTCTGGTGGGTGAAAGCAGAAAGCATAGTCTGCTCTCGATTCATCTCGTTTAGAAGGTAGTGTGTTTTTGTTTAGCCACTCCCTCGTGATCTTCGCAACTTTCGACTTTAGTGCATCGAAAGAGTGTTGACAAAGTCAAAAGAATTGGCCCAAGCAGATAAGTCATCGAACTTAGACCCTTAGGGTCGTTGAATGTCTGTAGCGAACGAATCCTCCGCTAAGACCTGCCAATCTACTCCTGCTTTGGTGTTGGTTCAGGTTTGAAGATAGAAATAGCCATCCGCAATTCCAAAAGACTTGGGTAGCTTCTTCTGCGCATTTGTGACAGGGCCTGGCCTTTGCTTCCTTTGGGGATGACGCCCTGCCGCGGTAACCGTCTTAACTAAATCAATTCAACTGAAAGTGAACGGACCTGTTGATTTGTCCGTCATCCCAAAGCCCGTAGCCATTTAGTCGTGCTGTGCAGATCTTAGCTCTGCACAGCCTTGGCGCGCTACTTCGTACCCAAGCTTCATTCTCTCCACCACTCTCGCACCACGTCTCTGCTAGCTACCTCACTATACGGGCAAATTGATCGCGCCTGACTACGGCCGGTCCGGTTCCAGGACTCGGTCGTGATTGACGTAAGCGGCCAGAGTCATGCTGAAACCGATTCCTCATTGGTTACCAAAGAAATATGATTGCCGACCGACGTTGCGAGCGATAGTCTGCCGAATATAGGCACAGGAGAGAAGGCCCGCGCCCCCATGATGTTTTCGCATGTTTCAGAAAGACACGTATGCAACTACCTCAATTCCAGCGCAGAGCCCAATGCGGCTCTGAGGATCTCGACTACTTTCATCAAAGCTGCACAGTATTTCACTATGTCATGTCGCCTTACAGTCTTTTATTTCCCCTGTACAGACTAGTTAATCCCTACGAGGGCTCACTATCGGAACAACCAGCGCGGTTCTATACGTAACACAAATTTCACCATCCATATCAAGCCACTTCCACTATTGCATCCAAAAGAAATGAGCACGGCTTGTTTCTGGTATGGGAAAGATAGATTACATGTTTCTTCTGCGGAGGGCCTTCTAGTAAACCAATTCAACACCATGAGTAGGCATCCCGAGAAATCTGAGCTGGATGATTGGCGGTAGACCACGACGCACCTACATGCAAGAAATTCTTCAGAAGTGCATCTCAGTGCTAGGTATGACATTATTGTGGAGTTGATATGTCTCAATAGAAAGGATCAGAATGATTCGCAGCTACGAACGCCAATTTCTTCGTACTCGCTACAGTGTCCACAGCAGTTAAGCAATTTGGCCAAGCCTCACCTTGTCCCCTCCATGGATCGATGCGGAGTAACCTTCATCTTGCCGAGTAGGTTCGATTAGAGAGTCCCTACAGGTTATGTGCAACATAGCCGTGAGACTAAACATTAATTAGGTCAGCAACCATACCTTTGCAGTGGTATGAATGATGAAAAATTTTAACACTCAAAAACGGTATGCATATAGAGAAAAATACAGCCTTACACGTATTGATAAGGGCAAATAGCACATGGGAGTGGATATTACTACTCGA